GAAAAACGCTCCGGCTGTGCCCCGAATGGCACCCTATTCCCTAAATAGTGCAATTTCAGACGCATCCTCCATCCTCCTCCTCTTAATCATCTATCCAGAGATTTGGATTGAGATTATTTTTGGCATAGGCCGGACATTTCTGCTAACTCTATAATAACTTGAAGTTTGGTAATTTGTTTGAAATTTCCGGATCTCCTTTTCATATGCATTCACAGTTGGACATAGATGATCTACATGCATAAGAAAACCCTATACTCAATCCATGACCATCCATGTATATTCCCCCCCAAGCCGACACCGCCATGGCTCTCAAGGAACTACACTGGACTATGTGGAAACTGGAAACCGCAAGCCTGAGGCAGCATTTATTGTAGCTGTGGACTTTAATAAAGGAAATCTGAGGAAAACGCTACCGAAATTCTATCAACACATCTCCTGTGCTACACGCGCATCATGGACTCTAGATCATTGCTACTCACCCTTCCGGGACGGCTACAAGGCCGTACCCAGCCCTCCCTTCAGCAAATCAGATCACGCCACCATTCTGCTCCTCCCCACCTATAGGCTGAAATTGAAGCAGGAAGCACCCTTGGTAAGGACTGTTCAACGTTGGTCTGTCCAATTGGAATCTATGCTTCCAGATTGTTTTGATCACGACTGGGAAATGTTCCGGGTCACCTCTGAGACGCATACACTGACTCGGTTGCTGGGTTCATCAGGAAGTGCATAGAGGATATTATTCCCACTGTGACAATAAGAACTTATCCAAACCAAAAACCATGGATAGATGGCAGCATTCGCGCAAAACTGAAAGTGTGAACCACCACATTTAACCACGGCAAGGTGACTGGGAAAATGGACGTGTACAAACAGACCAGCTATGACCTCCGTAAGGCAATCAAAGAGGCAAAACGACATATACAGGGACAAAGTAAATTCACAATTCAATGACTCAGACACAAGACGTATGTGGTAGGGACTCCAGACAATCAAAGATTCTAAATGGAAAGTCAGCCACATCGCGGACAACGAAACCTCGCTCCCGGACAAGCTAAACACCTTCACCCGCTTAGAGGAAAACAACATTGAGCCACCGGGCCTGCCGCCGCTCACGAGGACTCTGTGCTTTCGTTCTCCGTGGCCGACGTGAGTAAGACATTTAAGCGTGTTAACCCTCGCAAGGCTGCCTGCCCAGATGGCATTCCAAGCCACGTCATCACAGCATGTGCAGACCAGCTGGCAGGAGTGTTTACGGACATATTCAATCTCTCCATATCCCAGTCTGTTGTCCCCACTTGCTTCAAGATGTCCACAATTGTTCCTGTACCCAAGAAAATTAAGGTAACTGAATTAAATGACTATCGCCCCATAGCACTCACTTCTGTCATCATGAAGTGCTTTGACAGGCTAGTTAAGGACCATATCACCTCCATCTTACCCGACACCCTAGACCCACTACAATTCGCATACCGCCCCAACATATCCACGGACGACGTAATTGCCATTGCACTGCACACTGCCCTATCCCATCTGGACAAGAGGAATACCTATGTAAGAATGCTGTTCATCGACTACAGCTCAGCCTTCAACACCCTGGTGCACTCCAAGCTCATCAATAAGCTCACAGCCCTACGTCTCAACCCCTCTCTTTACAACTGTGTCCTGGACTTCCCGACCCCAAGTGGTGAAGGTAGGCAACAACATCTCTGCCACGCTGATCCTCAACACGGGGGCTCCACAGGGGTGCGTGCTCAGCCCCCTTTCTGTACTCCCTGTTCACCCATGACACCAACTCAGTCATCAAGTTTGCAACAGTGGTAGGCCTGATTACCAACAATGACGAGACAGGCTACAGGGAGGAGGTGAGAACCCTGGCGGAGAGGTGACAGGAGAATAACCTCAACGTCAACAAAATGAAAGAGCTGATTGTGGACTACAGGGAGACGGCAGAGATAACAGGTCCCCCATCCACATCGACGGGGCCACAGTGGAAAGGGTCATAAGCTTCAAGTTCTACAGCATCCGGTGTCACAGGAAGGCCAAGAAAGATCATCAAGAACCTCAGCCACCTGAGCCACGGCCTGTTCACCCCACTACCATCTAGAAGGCGGAGACAGTACAGGTGCATCAAAGCTAGGACTGAGAGACTGATGAATAGCTTCTATCTCCAAGCCATCAGACTGTTGAAGAGTCACCACTAGCCGGCATCCGCCCAGTACCCTGCCCTGAACCTTAGTCACTGTTATTAGCCGGCTACCACCCGGTACTCTACCCTGCACCTTAGAGACTGCTGCCCTATGTACATAGAGTCATTGAACACTGGTCACTTTAATAATGTTTACATACTGGTTTACCCACTTTATATGTACTGTATTCTAGTCATGGTTCATCCTATATAAATACTGCTGTACACACCTTTTCTATTCATATACACCATTGTATATACACAGTGCATTCAGAAAGTATTCAGACCCCTTAACTTTTTCCACATTTTGTTATGTTATAGCCTTATTCTAAAATGCATTAAATCAATAAAAATCCTCATCAATCTACGCACAATACCCCATAATAACAAAGCGAAAAACAGGTTTTTAGAATTTTTGGGGGGGAGAAGGGCCTTGGTCAGGGAGGTGACCAAGAACCCGATGGTCACTCTGACAGAGCTCCAGGGTTCCTCTGTGGAGATGGGAGAACCTTCCGGAAGGACAACCATCTCTGCAGCACTCCACCAATCAGGCCTTTATGATAGAGTGGCCACTCCTCAGTAAAAGGCACATGACAGCCCGATTAGAGTTTGCCAAAAGGCACCTAAAGGATTCTCTGGTCTGATGAAACCAAGATTGAACTCTTTGGCCTGAATGCCAAGTGTCACTTCTAGAGGAAACCTGGCATCATCCCTACGGTGAAGCATGGTGGTGGCAGCATCATGCTGTGGGGATGTTTTTCAGCAGCAGGGAGACTAGTCAGGATCGAGGCAAAGATGAATGGAGCAAAGTACAGAGAGATCCTTGATGAAAACCTGCTCCAGAGCGCTCAGGACCTCCGACTGGGGTGAAGGTTTACCTTCCAACAGGACAATGACCCTAAGCACACAGCCAAGACAACGCATGAGTGGCTTCGGGTCAAATCTCTGAATGTCCTTGAGTGGCCCAGCCAGAGCCCAGACTTGAACCCGATCGAACATCTCTGGAGAGACCTGAAAATAGCTGTGCAGCAACGCTCCCCATCCAACCTGACAGAGCTTGAAAGGATCTGCAGAGAAGAATGGGAGAAACTCCCCAAATACAGGTGTGCCAAGCTTGTAGCGTCATACCCAAGAAGACTCAAGGCTGTAGTCACTGCCAAAGGTGCTTCAACTAAGTACTGAGTAAAGGGTCTGAATGTGATATTTCCGTTTTTTATATATCCTGTTTTTGCTTTGTCATTATGGGGTATTGTGGGTAGATTGATATGAGGGGGGGGGGGGGGGGGGGGGAACGATTTAATCAATTTTAGAACAAGGCTGTAACATAACAAATTGTGGAAAAACTCAAGGGGTCTGAATGCTTTCCGAAGGCAAACGATGAAAAGTTCACAATCCATGGCTACAAAGCTAGCTGGCTAGTTAGCTATAGCTACTTTGTAAATTCGCTTGACATACTAGAAAGTAATATTAGCTAGTTGTGAACGAATTACTACAAGAAACATAGTTTATTATCTTCTGAAGCAATTTGGTTATCCTGTCTGCATTGTAGAAGTTCTGTTTTGCCATCTCACAAAATATGATATGTGATATGATCACTTTTGCCTCAGATTATAATAAATAAGATTTTATGGACGGGGGGGGGGGGGGGACTTGATCCTAGATCAGCACTCTTACTCCGAGACGATTTGTGAATACGGGCCGAGAACCATAGGAACATTCTTAAGTGTATTCTCTCAAGAAGCCCTCTCCCGCTAAGTCGATGCCTAGTCTCTACGACAACCAGGAAGATGCCAAATACTTCCCCCCCCCGTCCACCATTGTGCCATGTCTGGCCGTGACACTAAAGCCTCCAGCATCATTAAAGGCCACGTCTTAATCAGTGACAGACCCTGTCTTTAACATGACAGAATCCTGGTTCAGGACTACATGGACCTTCTTGTGTACGCATTCTCTGCTGTGTTTATGCACTACATGGACTCTCTGTGTGTCTCTGTTCTTATATCCTCTGTTAACTTCGTGTATATCTGCAACTATGACATGAGGCTGTTCTTCTGTCTTGCTGTTGTAATTTTGCTGGATACGCCTGCTTTAACAGTCTCCTGTTATTTAGTTTTCTGAAAGCTTATGATGAGGAAATTATACTGTAACTTTACTTCTTTTGTTAATTGGCCCTGAATAAAAAAGCCGCGTCTGTTTGACCTCAAGTTCATCTGAATCTCCCTTAGTATTTTTTGTTCATGGGGAATGCTCTTCAGTTAAAAGGTGGTACTTGCCTTAGGTTAAGTAGCCTTTGTTCTCATCGAGTTGGAAGAGCGGTCATGCTTGAGGGCCTCAAGTTGGTATGTAACAACACCAAATGGAAGTACTTTTTGGATTCATTGGGTGATTCTATTGTTCTGCTTTGGGAGTCTTTGGTGAGAGGTTCAGGCATCTAATGGCACTTGAGGGCCTAAATTGGTAGTGTAACCAAGCAACCGGTAAATGGAACGCTGACCGGGGATTTACAAAAGCTTGGATTTCTGTGATTTATCAGATAAAAGAATGCTGATCATCTTTAAAACTAACCAGGAGAAGAAACAGAGGCATTTCGCAGTGGCCACACAGAAAGGAGACAGACACAAACTGCAGCCAGGCTAGAGGCAGACTACTCTGAAGCAGACTACTCTGAAGCAGACTACTCTGAGGCAGACTACTCTGAAGCAGACTACTCTGAGGCAGACTACTCCGAAGCAGACTACTCTGAGGCAGACTACTCTGAGGCAGACTACTCCGAAGCAGACTACTCTGAAGCAGACTACTCTGAGGCAGACTACTCTGAGGGAGACTACTCTGAAGCAGACTACTCTGAAGCAGACTACTCCGAAGCAGTCCAGGATAAGAACAGTGAGTATCATCCTTTTCATATATAATGACAATTCTATAAATAGGGGAAACTTTTTGTCTGGATGTCTAATTAACTATGGGGGATTGTTTTCTCTCTGTGGAACAAAAATTGTCAAGAGGGATATTGTTAAAAAGAGGCCTATAACAGAATAAGAAATAACAACATTGAAATGTGTACAATTTTAAACATAAAAAATAAAAAAACACAATCTGCATTTTATACAACGTTACATCAAAGCAGCTTGTCTCCCAGAGGGGACAATGATGAGAACATCAAAGATGACCAAGTTCCTCCAATAGATAAAGAAAACAACAACAGTATTACATTCTGATAAGATGACAGACACCTCTGCCTTCCCCTCTGGTTTATCAGAAGGTTCTAATATCTTTGATGTCAAGTGTAATAACTCCAGCCTTGGTAAGACATCTGGAACTGTACATGCAATAGTACAACGGGTCAACTTGAAAAGCTTTCCGTGGGTGTGTTATGGTTACCGTGGTCACGTGTTGTACCAACCCCACAGAACAAGGACAGGAGAAATATGAAAAGGGATGAAAAGAGAGCAAGGTTTGTCCCAGAGTATAATGCTCCTCCCCTATTTTGTTTTGACTATTTGAATCACCTGGGCGACGTCCCAAATGGCACCTATTCCCCTACTCCCCTATTTAGTGCACTACTTTTAAGCAGGACCCATAGGGCTCTGGTAAAAAGCTGTACACTACATAGGGAATAGGGTGTCACTTGGGACGTAGTCACTGTCCACAAGGTGGTTCTGGAAATTCAGGGTGATTCAATACATAAACAGTAAACTCTTCGGGAAAAAAAGGGTTCTTCGGCTGTCCCCGTAGGAGAACCCTTTTCGGTTCCAGGTAGAACCCTTTTTGGTTCCATGTAGAACCCTCGGTGGAAAGGGTTCTACATGGAACCCAAATGAGTTCTGCCTGGAACCAAAAAGGGTTCTTCAATAGGTTCTCCTATGGGGACAGACAAAGAACCGTTTTAGGTTCTAGATAGCACCTTTTTTTTCTAAGAGTGCATATAAGGCTGAGAAGGCACACCTACTTCGGTGAGGTGCAAACCAGTGGGAAATGTTGTACTTTTTATATTTAACCAGGTAGTCTCCTTGAAGGAAGTCAGAAGACCCTCTTTCCCAAGGGAGATAATACTTGGAAGGAGAATAATTAATACCCAGGTGTTCTCCAGCTGTCATCATGACGCAGCAGCCTCCAGACGTCCTCACCGTAATAGGTACCGGCATAGTGACTGACACTACAGCGTCTGGAGCCCTGTTACTGCTGCTCTGTCTCCTGCTCATCACTACCTGGTGCCTCGCTAACGCATCACACGTACCAGGTAAGACCAATGATGTGTGAATGATGTGTGAATGTGTCTTAAGGGGAAAACACAGCCACTCTCTCTCTCTCTCTCTCTCTCTCTCTCTCTCTCTCTCTCTCTCTGTCTCTCTCTCTCTCTCTCTCTCTCTCTCTCTCTCTCTCTCTCTCTCTCTCTCTCTCTCTCTCTCTTCGTCTAACAACTGTCACTACCATGTAATATGAAATATCATAATGTCTTTTTGTTGATCATTTGAAGATTAAACCTATTGAGGCTTAATACATTTAGGAATTGTATCTCTAATATCTCATATAAAAGTTGATAGCCAATTGTTAACTAGAAAGACATTGGCTGTTCATAATAGAACGGTTAATACTGTAAGACTGTGGCAAACAGCAATCCTGTACTAACCTGCGTCTCTCTACTGTACGTACCTCTATGGCAGGTCCTTTCTTCTGGGCAGGTCTGGGTCCTATCCTCTCCTACTCTAGATTTATCTGGACCGGGATAGGAACAGCCTGTAACTACTACAACAAGAGATATGGGAGCATGGTCCGGGTCTGGATCAACGGAGAAGAGACTCTCATTCTTAGCAAGTTAGTTCTGTTGAAATGGAATTGGAAAATACTCCACTCATTCAGTTCTGGGAAGGTATCCATCAAGCGTCTCAGAGTAGAGCTAAGATCCACTGAAAAGTAAAAACGGATCCAAGATCAGCACTCCTGCTTTGAGACTCTCTATTAATACAGGTTGGAATTGCTTTGTGGAAACTGGGAAAAAGAGAAGTCTTATTACATTGTTGTAACGGTGGTGTTACACTCTGGTCTCACTCGTGCAGGTCCTCTGCTGTCTACCATGTCCTGAAGAGTGCCCGCTACACAGCCCGGTTCGCCAGTAAACAGGGACTGCAGTGTATCGGGATGGACGGGAGAGGCATCATCTTCAACAGCGACGTCCCACTCTGGAAGAAAGTGAGGACATATTTTGCGAAAGGTACACGACAGAGACTTGGAAGTTTTATTTAAACATGATTGTCTGACTCGCTAACGCTGACTCGCTAACGCTGACTCGCTAACGCTAACTCGCTCTTACTAGATGTCAAATTAATTTATGTTATGGTCTGGTGCAGGGTTGGGATCAATTCCATTTCAATTCAGTCAATGGAATTCTTCCTGAATTGCCTGAATTGAAATGGAATTGACCCCATCCTTGGTGAGGTGTGTATGTGTGTGTCAGCCTTGACAGGACCTGGTCTGCAGCGGACCATAGGGATCTGTGTGAGTGCTACAGACAGACACCTGGAGCGTCTGCAGGAGATGACTGACCCCTCTGGACACGTAGACGTTCTCAACCTGCTGAGATGCATCGTAGTGGACATTTCTAACAAACAGTTCCTCAGGGTGCCTCTCAACGGTCAGTGGCAGGATGTGTGTGTGTGTGTGTGTGTGGGGGGGGGAGGGGTTTGTCTGTGTGGGATGTGGGGACGTCTGTCCTGGCACCCCAATGGTGGAACCAGCTTCCCCCTGAAGCTAGGACAGCAGAGTCCCTGTCCATCTTCTGAAAAACATCCGAAACCCTACCTTATCAAAGAGCACCTCCTCCTCACCTTGATCCCCTCCACCCCACACCCCCTTACTAGCACTGACTTTGCTGATAACTACTTTATTGGGGACAAATGTACTTACTATGACTGTTGTAGTGTCGAGTAAACGTTGCTAATTATGCTGTGATGACCAAGGAGGACCCGCTGACGCTGTATTTTCATCATAAGGTTTATTCATAACAAAGGGTTACAGCGTCGATTTACAGATACCTGCAGATACCCGGAGAATAATCGCCCCATCTCTAATATGATTATTCTGACCTCTTTTGTCCCAACTGTGGTATATATGCTATGTAATCTGATATGGGTGTTCCCCTACAGACCAATCCCAGGAGGACACCTAACAGACTTCCTCTGTTCTATGGTGTGTCACTCTAAAACGGCTCCCTCTAAAACTGAATAAACCTCCTCTCAGGTTCCACTTGAAAACATTAGCAAAGTCATAATTCTTCATACACTACACTGTGATATGTGGTTGTCCCACTTAGCTATCTTAAGATGAACGCACTAACTGTAAGTCGCTATGGATATGAGCGTCTGCTAAATGACTAACATGTCAACGTAAATGTAAACGGGACATCCTTGACACATCGAATTATGCCAAAAGCTTTGACTGTGTGTCTTTGTGCTTTATGTAACTCAGAGAAAGAGCTGCTATTGAAGATCCAACACTACTTTGACACCTGGCAAACGGTTCTGATCAAGCCTGATATCTTCTTCAAATGTGGATGGGTGTACAAGAGGCACCAACAAGCAGCGTAAGTTCTCACATACGCTTAAAGCCACAATCTGTAATTTTCTCCAATGTTTACATTGGTGGTCACTCTTGTGGTCCTCTGTAGCTCAATTGGTAGAGCACGGCGCTTGTAATGCCATGGCTAGTGGGTTCGATTCCCGGGACCACCCATACGTAAAAATGTATGCGCGCATGACTGTAAGTCGCTTTGGATAAAAGCGTCTGCTAAATGGCTTATTATTATTATAATTAAGGTGTGTGTGGGTTTTAATCAAGTGTTTCTACGTCTTGTTTCTAGCAAGGAACTACAGGACGTGATGGAAAGCCTTATTGAAACCAAAAGAAAAGCTATCGTTGAATCTGAAAAACTGGACGATGATCTCGACTTCACCTCAGAACTCATCTTTGCCCAGGTCTGTTACTGCCGACGAATGAAATCGTGTCGTTTGTGCACAACATTGTACGGGCGTCACTAAGAAAAAACCTGTCGATCTTTATCGACCGTGTGTGTGTTGACCAGAGCCACGGAGAGCTGTCGGCGGACGACGTGAGACAGTGTGTGTTGGAGATGGTGATAGCGGCCCCGGACACTCTGTCCATCAGTCTGTTCTTCATGCTCATGTTGCTGAAGCAGAACCCTGAGGTGGAGATGAAGATTGTAGAGGAGATCAGCACTCTCATAGGTGACACCTTTCAAAATAAAAAGTGGGGTTTCACAGTTAGGTGGAATTTCTAATAATATATAATATAGGTCACGTAGCAGACGCTTTAATCCAATGCAACAGCGACTTACGTTACAGTGAATGCGTCCATTTTTAGTATGTGTTTATGATCTCTGGGGGGACTTGAACCCACCATCTTACGGGCACTCTTACCAACTGCGCCACCCGTGACTTATAATTGAGACAAATATCTGACAGATGGCAAACTATATATTTTAGGCACAACATGCTGACAAGCTCCTGTTCACTTCTATCCACAGGTGAGAATGACGTATTGACAGTTGACTTCCAGAACTTCAGAGTGCTGGAGAGTTTTATCAATGAGTCCATGAGGTTCCATCCTGTGGTAGACTTCACCATGAGGAAGGCGCTGGAAGATGACGTCATCGATGGGACCAAGGTTACCAAGGGAACCAACATCATCCTAAACATAGGGCTTATGCACAAGACTGAGTTCTTCCCCAAACCCAACGAATTCAGCTTGGAAAACTTTGATAAAACTGTAAGTGGGAGTCGGGGCGGTCCTATTTCTTAAAAGCATTGTACTGCAAACTGATGTGTTGTCATAATTGATGGACAAGTCTGTGAAATTATTCAGAAGTAGCGTGTGGTTTACTTGGTTCCAGATCTGTTTGTGTCTTCTTGCCAACTCCTTTGATTCATGCCAAACATGATAAAGACCTCAGGAGTTGTCAACACAACGCAAACCGATCTGGTACCAGGCTATGATTGACCTTTCCTCGCTCTCCATCAGGTGCCCAGTCGTTTCTTCCAGCCGTTCGGTTGTGGCCCTCGCTCCTGTGTGGGTAAACACATCGCCATGATGATGATGAAGGCTGTCCTGGTGACGCTGTTGTCGCGGTACACGGTGTGTCCTCGTCATGGCAACACACTGAGCAGCATCAGGCAGACCAACAACCTGTCACAGCAACCTGTGGAGGATGAACACAGTCTGGCCATGAGGTTCATACCCAGAATGACACAACTACCTGACCACAACCAGCCCCCACTGACCACTACCGGTCACCACTGACCACAACCAGCCACCACTGACCACTACCGGTCACCACTGACCACAACCGGCCACCACTGACCACAACCGGCCTCCACTGACCACCACTGACGACAACCGGCCACCACTGACCACAACCGGACACCACTGACCACAACCGGCCTCCACTGACCACAATCGGCCTCCACTGACCACAACCGGCCTCCACTGACCACAACCGGCCTCCACTGACCACAATCGGCTCCACTGACCACAACCGGCCTCCACTGACCACAATCAGCAACCACTGACCACAATCAGCAACCACTGACCACAATCAGCTGCCTGGTCGGTGGAGAATGACCACAACCAACACTGACTTTTACCTCTGACCATAACCAGGACTGACCACAACCATCAATAACCTAACCACAACCATCAATAACCTGACCACAACCAACACTGACCTGACTGGTGGAGGACGAACACAGCCTGACCATGCCCAGAATGATCACACATTTCTCTGGCCACTCGATCACAACCACTGACACACACCCAGCACTGACCATATATATACGAGTTACCAAGACAGTACAAACAGATATCTTTAAAAAAAAACATATTTTTTAGTCATTTAGCAGACGCTCTTATCCAGAGGGACTTACAGGAGCAATTAGGGTTATGTGCCTTGCTCAAGGGCACATCGACAGATTTTTCACCTAGTCGGCTCGGGGATTAGAACCAGCGACCTTTCGGTTACTGGCACAACACTCTTAACCATTAAGCCACCTGCCAGGTACTACTACTGGGCTACAGTCGATACTTTTACTGTTTAAAGGCTACTATCCCACAACTGTAATATATTACTTCCACACTACATTTTTCAACACTAGTCTGTATGTTTTTTTTTTACTTCTAAACTTCTTCTACTACCATAAAAATACTTCCACAGCTTAAGCACGCACACTTTCTTGTTGTTTAAAATTACAATTTCTAGTTGTTTTTAAAATCATGTCATTAGAATATATCAAGAATTGTTTGTATTATGTGCATAACTACTGTAACCATTTACTCAATAAAATAAGAATTGTGTATAAATATCTTTATAAAACAATTGTTATCCTCAAGTCTTGAATCTTAAACTTATTTTGATATGGTTAATGGTGGTAGCAGAAATGGGGGATACACCGTCTGTGTCCGAATACCCATTTTGGCGTTTGATCGAGAAGGGGGTACCTGAATCCCAATATGGCGACTGGTACCATACACTGAGCTAACATACCGCAAGAGTTTGTACACTGAGCTAACATACCGCAAGAGTTTGTACACTGAGCTAACATACCGCAAGAGTTTGTACACTGAGCTAACATACCGCAAGAGTTTGTACACTGAGCTAACATACCGCAAGAGTTTGTACACTGAGCTAACATACCGCAAGAGTTTGTACACTGAGCTAACATACCGCAAGAGTTTGGACTTCTGTTTTTAAGCCAGAGGGTGTGTCTGAGTTGTTTTTCACTGTTAGTTTTACACAAATATCTGTAAAAAAAAAAAACTTTTCATTAAAATTATTGACAATTGGTGTACTGGTGATTCATGCGTTGTGACGGTCACACTGATATTGGGCAGGTAGTTGCCGGACAGTAGTGGGCACTGTGTCCCGGTGTTGTTGCCGTTCATGCCCTCCCCATTGAGTATGACTGTATGTCTCAAGGTAACATCTAATAAAAAAAATAAACGAAACATGAAACAATTTAAAAGATTTTTACTGAAATCAGACCTTAATCTATGAATTTCACATGACTGGGAATACAGATATGTATCTGTTGGTCACTGATACCTTTTTTTAAAAAGGTAGAGGCGTGGATCAGAAAACCAGTCAGTATCTGGTGTGACCATTTGCTTCATGCAGAGCGACACATCTCCTTCGCTGTGATGAGGTGATGTCGAAGGAGTCAGGCGCAGCAGAGTAAATCACAAAATAAAACAGGCTTTATTCCGCAGATACAGAGTTACGCAGTAATGTGTCAAAAACACTTCAGTGCGCAAAACAGGCGCACTGGAAAATACAAGGCAAACAGGGAAATATCCCGGCGATACAAAATACACGGAGCTCCACCGAGCTTCACTATCCTCCACAAAAAAATCACACACAAAGACAAGGGGGCAGAGGGAACACTTATACAGGTACTGATGAGGGGATATGAACCAGGTGTGTGTAATAAACAAGACAAAACAAATGGAATGATGAGATGAGGAGCGGCAGTGGTTAGAAGGCCGGTGACGACGCACGCCGAAGCCTGCCCGAACAAGGAGAGGTGGCAGCTTCGGAGGAAGTCGTGACATTCGCATAGAGTTGATCAGGCTGTTGATTGTGGCCTGTGGAATGTTGTCCCATTCCTCTTCAATGGCTGTGCGAAGTTACTGGATATTGGCGGGAATTGGAATATGCTGTCGTACATGTCAATCCAGAGCATCCCAAACATGCTCAATAGGTGACATGTCTGGTGAGTATGCAGGCCATGGAAGAACTGGGACATTTTCAGCTTCCAGGAATTGTGTACAGATCCTTGACACATGGGGCCGTGCACTATCATGCTGAAACAGGGTAGTTACAAACACAACAGGAATGAAGTCATCAACATGTATTGATCACATCTTTACTAATACTGCAGAAATCTGCTTTAAAGCAGTATCCAAATCTATCGGATGTAGTGATCACAATATAGTAGCCAATTCTTCAATTGTGCTATTTTGTGCTATTTTGTGTGAGCTTCTGGATATCAGAACAGCGATTACTCACCTCGATCTGGACAAAGATTCTTTTTTTATGAGTCTGACGCGAAGGATATAATGTTGCTCTCAGACAAGGCCCAAATCCCCGTCATTCGCATTCTCGCCTGAGGTAGAGTACCTCATGATAAGCTGTAGACCACACTATCTACCAAGAGAGTTTTCCTCTATATTTTTTGTAGCCGTCTATTTACCACCACAAACTGACACTGGCACTAAGACCGCACTCAACGAGCTGTAGAAGGCCATAAGCAAACAAGAAAATGCTCATCCAGAAGCGGCGCTCCTAGTGGCCGGGGACTTTAATGCAGGAAAACTTAAATCTGTTTTACCTCATTTCTACCAGCATGTCACATGTGCAACCAGAGGGAAAACAACTCTAGACCACCTTTACTCCACACACAGAGATGCGTACAAAGCTCTCACTCGCCCTCCATTTGGAAAATCTGACCATAATTATATCCTCCTGATTCCTGCTTACAAGCAAAAACTAAAGCAGGAAGTACCAGTGACTCAATACGGAAGTGGTCAGATGACGCGGATGCCACGCTACAGGACTGTTTTGCTAGCACAGACTGGAATATGTTCCTGGATTCATCCAATGGCATTGAGGAGTATATCACCTCAGTCACCGGCTTCATCAATAAGTGCATCGACGACATCGTCCCCACAGTGACTGTACGTACATATCCCAACCAGGCAACATCCGCACCGAGCTAAAGGGTAGAGCTGCCACTTTCAAGGAGCGGGACACTGACCCGGACGCTTATAAGAAATCCCGCTATGTCCTCAAACAAACCATCAAACAGGCAAAGCGTCAATACAGGACTAAGATTTAATCCTACTACACCGGCTCTGATGCTCGTCGGATGTGGCAGGGCTTGCAAACTATTACGGACTACAAAGGGAAACACAGCCGCGAGCTGCCCAGTGACGCGATCCTACCAGACGGGCTAAATGCCTTTTATACTCGCTTTGAAGAAAAGCAACACTGAAGCATGCATGAGAGCACCAGCTGTTCCGGACGACTGTGTGATCACGCTCTCCGTAGCCGATGTGAGCCAGACCTTTAAACAGGTCAACATTCACAAGGCCGCGGGGCCAGATGGATTACCAGGACGTGTACTCAGAGCATGCGCTGACCAACTGGCAAGTGTCTTCACTGACATTTTCAACCTCTCCCTGACCAAGTCTGTAATACTTACATGTTTCAAGCAGACCACCATAGTCCCTGTGCCCAAGAAAGCAAAGGTAACCTGACTAAATGACTACCGCACCGTAGCACTCATGTCGGTAGCCATGAAGTACTCTGAAAGGCTGGTCATGGCCCTAGACCCACTCCAATTCGCATACCGCCACAACAGATCTACAGATTACGCAATCTCAATCGCACTCCACACTGCCCTTTCCCACCTGGACAAAAGGAACACCTATGTGAGAACGCTGTTCATTGACTACAGCTCAGCGTTCAACACCATAGTGCCCACAAAGCTCATCGCTAAACTAAGGAACCTGGGACTAACCACCTCACTCTGCAACTGGATCCTGGACTTCCTGACGGGCCGCCCCCACGTGGTAAGAATAGGCAATAACACATCTTTGTGGCACCTGACCATACAACTGAACAGTAGTCCAGGTGCGACAAAACTAGGGCCTGTAGGACCTGCCTTGTTGATAGTGCTGTTAAGAATGCAGAGCGCTTTATTATAGACAGACTTCTCCCCATCCTAGCCACTGTTGTATCAATATGTTTTGACCATGACAGTTTACAATCTAGGGTTACTCCAAGCAATTTAGTCTCCTCAACTTTTTTTATGAATGAGTTGTCCCAAATACATTGTTTTAGTTTATTTTTTTAATATTAGGGACTAACTTATTCCTTGCCACCCATTCTGAAGCTAACTGCAGTTCTTTGTTAAGTGTTGCTGTCATTTCAATCGCTGTGGTAGCTGACGTGTATAGTGTTGAGTCGTCCGCATACATAGACACACTGGCTTTACTCAAAGTTAGTGGCATGTCGTTAGAAAGATTGAAAAAAGTAAGGGGCCTAGACAGCTGCCCTGGGGAATTCCTGATTCTACCTGTATTTTGTTGGAGAGGCTTCCATTAAAGCCCACCCTCTGTGTCCTGTTAGACAGGTAACTCTTCATCCACAATATAGCAGGGGGTATAAAGCCATAACACATACGTTTTTCCAGCAACAGACTATGATCGATAATGTCAAAAGCCACACTGAA